GAAGTTTATAGGAGACTGGAGGCACATCATGCCGAAAAACCAGTTATTGTTCCACGAGGACAGTGAGGTTCTGCAGAAACTGCAACAGAGGTATCTTAAACATGCACCCAGATCCAGTAGTCGCTGATTTGAAAGACCCAAACGCAGTATGTAAACTGAGTAACTCAAGATGAGTAGTGAAGAGGGAGACGTCTATACTTGATTTTCTAGACTTCGAGAGCGATCAGTATTGGATTCACAGGACACCAAGGCTGCACGTAGCTAAATTCTGCAGTGGATCCAGCGAGATGGATACCTCTGATGATCCACACCTAGTGACTGATACACCTGGCTGTCTCTTTGCATCTACCTGTCATCTTACACGTCTGTGCGTATCAGCCAGACTCGACCCTACATCTGTTTTCTGATTACCTAATCCATTTGCGTCTTACAATATGGACGCTTTCAGGGTTTCGCTAGATCATTGTGCGGCCAATTCTCGAAAGATCTCCTCCTTCGATCACAGATTCCATTTTATCAGAGCTGGTTTGTGTGAATACTGTACAGATGGTAGGTAATTATGTGGAAACTCGGACCATTTTGTGAGGAATATGAAAATAGTTATCAGAAGTGAAGTTGAATCTGCCTGTTGGTAGTGAGGAGTTTGTTTTATGGTTTAAGTCACTTTTAGTGGATTTAGCATATGCCTGGATTACATCATTTCGTAGAATTGAAACTTCCGTAAGATAGTTGCCACGCATCTACTAGAATCAATCCACGTATATTCAACTAAGATCAGATGTACTGGCCAAAGCCATCCTGATATCATTATTAGTGACCAGACTGAGCAACCATCATTATCATTTCGTTCACGGGACATGTGAATCAGCCTACTGCTCAGGAGATCCCAACTGCGGTGAATAACTAAAAGGCCTGAGATTACTACATGGACGTTGTATATCTATCATTCTCCCATTTTTCTGCTGTCATATAAAGTCTAGAATAGCGTGATTTCACATCAGTCTGAAATCCGCGTCTTCTCATCCAAAGAGGGAGAGATCTGACGAACGATGTAGACTGATAAGGGCATCTAGTGTGACTGCTACCATGATCAAAGCGTCATGTTACACTAATTGACTTCAACACACGCTTTTAAAAGTAGGCACCAAGTTTCGCCATTTGATCACAGATTCTAAAAAATTAGGACTTCATGATCGAGTGGTCCATCTGCCCGCTTTGATGGCTTCATCTTGGCAGTGTAGATATGGTTTTTTGGTCCTTTTTAACGACAAAATACCTTAGTTACGACCGGCGCTCTCAGAAATCTGAACTAAGGTACGTCGTCGTCGGGCAGAAGCGTTGATAATTGATGATTGATGTTGATTTTCTCCCTCTGTAGATATGTGAACTGATTGCACGCACAAAGAACTTGTCCATCAAGTTGTCTCGAGTGTTTCTGTCTGGCTTTCGGGTCGACACAGAAAATCTAGGGGAATATTTCACGACTTTCTAGAGTAAATCATAACTGGCATGCTGAACTGCACCCGGTCATCAGTAATTATTGCGAACATGTTGAGAGCAAATTCCACCTAGTACACGGAGATCAAGGTGAATCATGAAAAAACAGAATATATCGATCTCGGATTCATAGAGATTTGGGAAATATTGTATAACGGACTTCCTCTTCACGACTTGAACAATACAGCCAATTGTGTGTGAGATATGGTGGCTTTCCACTGAAAAATTGATTGGACATAGCCTGTTCAAGTTAACTAGACAGTGCCTTATAAACCACACACAAGTATGAATGGCGGTTTTTTTTCTCCATCGCCCTGACTGGCGGGGCCTCCAAGCGCACTTTTTTCTCTCCTCTCTTCTTTGGATCTAAACGTTATATCCGTCTCACATTTTTCCATTCATTGCAACTGTTCTGATGGCGTAGTAATCGGCTGTAATTATCACATACCTGGAGCAAATCTGCAAATACGAATTTTACTCTTGTTTGCTTGTTCGATTAGCCCTATCTTGCTGTCACTGCCTAGAACTGTCATGACCCTTGGTCTTACCTACTGTTGCAAAGCATCCGTAGATGGGGATTTCAGACAGATTTTATTCCATTCTTCATCGTTTCCATCCTGAAATGGTATATCAAGAATTTGCCTTTGATTGCATTAGTCGGTTCGAATTTGCCCTTATTTTGGGGGCTGTTTGTTTCTAAGACGGAGAATTCAACAAAACAAAAACTTCTGTGGCTTCAGGCAGACATCTACAACGTGTGCACTAACGATTTAATTATCCCTCCTATAATTAATTTTGCTTGACGTGGTAGGGGAAACTGCGTTGATTCGAATAAAGCGTCTATGGTCGTTAGGTTGTTCGCTGAGCTGGGCGATTTGGTTGCAAACGTTTCATCACCGATCGGGGTAAAAATATCAGCGCGTTATTGGCGGGCGTGGTTGTGCCTAGCTAAGCTAACAAGCCAACGACCATCTACGCTAACTGAGCTACCGACATTTTCCTCTATAAAGCGTCCATATCTGTGCAACTTTTTAAGAGTGAAAGATAACAAATCAGGGCAACCATCAGATGTTAGAAACACTTATCTCTCTTATAGTAACAGAGTGACGCATCTTGGTAGTTCTGACGTCCCACTGTTCAAAACAATACCCGAATTAAGGTGTTCCTATAAGTCGGTAACAATACCGAGCTAACAATACTGAGCCAAAATCGTCTTGTGCAAGTAATAACTCACAATTGGACTGAAAGAAAGGTAAAGGTGAGTGAAACAAGACGCCAATAGTTTAAAAGCTTGTTCAAACAAACGGTCAGTAGTAAGAGGAATGTGTAACTCGGCTATCCACAAAATGAATAAAAGGCACGCGTCACTCAAATTTCACCAGGTCCACCAAAGGTAAATGCAGAAATCCCAACTGTACTTCCTACGAAACGACTAGTTGAAAAAATGATCGTAGTTAGGATACCATCTTACAAGCTTGCCACCATCTTTGTTGTAAATACCTCTCACGGAACACAAGGCTCGTTGGTCATACCGATAATAATATAACTTCTTTGGATACTTTGGAGCACCAGAACTGGTGAAAATTCGATGCACCTCGTACAATGGCCATCAATTCACAGTCGATTCTCTGGAAGTTGGTCGTATAAAAGTAACATTTACAAACAAACGTCAAACTGTTCCCGTCAGCCAATGTCATCCGACGGTATTTAACCCTTTCCAGAGTTGAATGATAGCCGTTTGAACTATTATCCAGATGAATAGCAAGCGGACGTCGTCGGTTGTGGGCACACTGGCCAGTCCGACGAACAAAACTTGGCTGAGAATGTCAACCAACATACTCATGAGTCCAAAAACCCTGTTTAAACGTTATACTCTACGAGAAACATCACGGCATAATGCTGCACCACAAAAGATGAAGAATGTCGACAGTAGTGAAAAGGATATGGGATTTCCGCTCTGTGGCGCCCGGCTGCGAAACAGACTTCGTAGTCAATCGGAAGACAGAATCCTACTGGCGATCAGCGTACACCACACCAGCCGCCTTAAAGACTGCTACAGGGATGAAAAGTAAAACCATCTGTCAGCTGCTTTATTGACTGGTGGCAATGAGCAGGTGATATACCAGGTGATCTTCTTGCTGCGGTCTGTTACCATAGGTTTCTGGTACAGTACAACCATATGTGGAGTAACAAGTTTAATGCATATTTGAAGAATTGTCAGTCTCTATTCAGTTTGTCTGACTGAGGGTTAGAGTTGTAGGCACGCAGGATGTTCATGGCAGGCTAGGTCTCCTTCTTGGTCACTTTCTATTGTTATTTCTGTTATGACCCTTTATTCCAATAGACCTACATGGTTGTTGTCAGGAAGACCAGATTCCTGAAGATTATCCCAGAATACCTGAAAATTAGTGAGACCCTTAAACTCCACTAGACGCCGGTCAGACGTCGAAGTCAGACAGTGCCCTTAGAAATACATCTTGAGGCTGTTGTACTTGCAAGCACTCGCTTGTTTGCAATAAGACTGTTGTCTTCCTTGTCGGCGAGTCTTTTTCTGGCACTAGGCACTGGAGTAGGGAAAAGATTCAAATATGCCAGTTGTACGGCAGTGAACCTAGGTTCTTATCGGGTGTGGCCGACAATGGTGATTATGACGTCGCAGTTCGGTTGCTCTCAGAGGCCATATCTCAAGACCGTAGAAGAAACCATTAAGTGTTCTAGCCTGATGCACACACCTCGTGCGATTTAGGGATATCCCATTTTGCCGTCTTGGTTATATTGTCTCAAATTTGCAAAAGCGACCCAAGCGTGAAGGATTCCTACACTGACCTCATCTGTCACACTGAAATCGAAACTTCGATGATAAGTAAAATACCTCACAATCTTGAGATGGTTTACGACGTAGGTGAATTTTTGTTTCACGTCCACCATGCTGGAGCGCTAGCGTCATATAATTTGGACGGAGGTTAGCACTCTGAGAGTTTTCCGCGGCACTGTGCAAGCCGTATGGACTACCTGTAAGTCCCTAATAAGAAGTAAAGTCTAGTAAGATCTCCCGATAGTCTTAGTTGGTACCCAACTAATTAGCATGGTGGAACTGTGTGGTATGTTTTCAGGGTTGCCTGAACAAACTTCGCCTTACTTCGGTCATTCGGTAATTCACCCGTTGTCAGCCGCTCAATAGACAAACGTAACAGAGCATTCATAGGGTTGCTGAAGATTGTTTGACGGCGTACGACCTGAACACATTCTCGTCTGCAGCCAAAAATATTCTAAAATTAGGCCAAACGCATCTGACTGTCACACAACCGTTCCGTATATTATTCATGTAACTGGTCTAGAATGGCAAAGCATGATTCACACGATTTGAGCATTGCTTTGTCATATATTTCTCTCGATGTAAACAACAATAACATATTTTGAAAAAGCACCTGGGTAAGAGAGAGCGGATAGGAAAATTCACAGTCAATACACGGTTCAAGGAAACGTGAAATATGGTGAGACTCAGTCACAGTCATCGCTGCTTCGGACAAAGTGTTTCTTCAGAAATTTACTTAAACTGTGTTTGGTTGAAGGTTGAATCCGAAAAGCACTTGCCACGGTACTGCTACCGGTCACCGTAGGGATCGGGTTATTGTTTCTCGCCGAAACTACACCAGTTTTCCCAGATGAGGTTGACGGACCGGGTGAAGGAGGGAATTTGATTCGACGTTCATTTGGCAAACGCGGGTCACGACCTTTTCGCTCCGCTTCACCAAGCAAGGAGACAACCTGTATGAAGAGTTCCGCAATCATGTGGTTCAAGGATGCCGACACCTCAATGAATTTGGCATCGTGTAGACTGGCAAAGTGACGACCATCTGTCATACGAATGGAATAATGCAAAAAAAGTTAGAAATAAGTTAGGGTTATCTTTCACGGTTGACGGTCAATTAAAATGATAAATAATCTGCATCATGATCAACTACAGAAAACAACGTCAGTGCTGATAATGATGCGTCACTGTCGCACAACTAGATTTTATTTAATTACGTTTAAAGGCTCAGTGAAAGCAGAGAAAAGAGTGAATGATGGACGAAACTGATTCTAGTCAACCGCATACATTCTGATGTACTCCCATCTTTGAGCGTTCAACCAAGCAGCCTAGATACAAACCGGCAGCCTGAAAGTCACTGATATCAAAGAAACGCTGTTTCGCGCAATGTTTTTAGCCAAATGACGGAGGGATGGGTCATGGAGACCCCATCATCGAAGGTGGACTGCACCATCAACTCCTACATTCTCCATAGTCTGTTTCACACTGTTCTNNNNTGTTCTAACAACTCTCCCTTACACGGCGCTGTGTACGATATTGAAGCAGGAATCATGATCCAGCTGGCGGTCATTCACTGAGATGTGCACGATGGATACTGTTGATTTTTTCATACGCTACATCGGCAACTCAGCTTGAGATGGCAAGTTACTGAGCAAAGGAAGCATATGGGATACAACTAGGGCAGTTATTCGGTTGTCGTCGACATAGCTCAATCCTAAAGACGTTTGTCCGTTTAGACGTGTGTGGGTAGAGTTCTAGTGTAACTGTGGATACTACTGATGAAGCATGCGAGTAACCAATGGTTTGCAGCCAAGCTCCACCCCGCATCTAATAGAAGTTGAACTTTATTGCGGAAATTTTGAAAGCCTTCTGCAGCGTTCGTTTACTATTGTGTTATAGTCAATGAATATTCAGGAAAGTTCCAGATGATGCGTGAGAATATCCAGTTTTTATAGACTATGTGCATATGACATGTTTACTTTCTTGTGTAATGGCTTGTGTTCGTTAATAAAAGAGTTCGTAGTTATTTTAAGCAGTACTATTCAGTAACTCCTCTAAAGTGGGACAAATTACGCAAAGTTATCTAAACATGTTAGCATATTATGTGACGCATAAGCGTGATTCACATTTAACAGTTCCTCATTAGATACCAATATGTGAACGATGAATTGTTATTACCAGCAACATAAGGTGGAAATCATCATGTGAATACCTCATTTTCAGGCTAAACGAACGCATCGGCTTCGGCATCTAGAACGGTGTCACAAGGACCTCGAAAGCTACAAAGACATTTTTAGGAGAATAGAGTTCAAGTGATCTTACCTTCAGAAGAGACTTGGCGTCCTCGTACGAGGTCGGTTTTGTTGCCCACCAAAAGCACGGGGATGGGAACCACAGCTTGACTGGACCCTCCCTTGCGTATCACACTTGGTGACTGGGAAGGATCGAATGACGCTGACAAGGTGTTGATGATCACACGTGCTGCGGCAAAACTTGCGTTGTCATCGATGGCATACACGACAATAAATGCGTCGGTGCAATCCTGGATCTTGATTTCCTGAGTTGGAGTATCAGAGAAACGGAAGCATTTGTGTTCAGACAGAGTGATCAACAATCTTCACGACCTTTTAAAACAACGAATCAAAGGGAACTTCTCTATTAGGAGACAACGACGGAAAGGACCTAGTTACCCCTAATTGCAAAAGACCTCATTTATATGGGGAGAGTGCGGGTGCCTCTACTTAACCTGAGCTCACTCAGCATAGTAAGACAAAAGAGGATATATTCACAATACTACAACTCCTGAATTGTCCACGATGACAAAGTGCTTCGGGTAAACGTATTTAAACTCCTTCTGCATAATATTGGGTGCTGTTGTGTTAAGATGACTAAAGAATTCAGTTTTACAAGTTTCATCTCTTTCTGTCCGGTTGTCCAGCATCCGTTTGTTGTTGTTTGATTACTCTAACGGGCACAAAGCACGTTTTGACATCAACAGCAGATGAGCGGATTTAGAATATAATCCAACTTTCTAGATATTCTCATTGGTGAGCAGGTATACAAAAGTCAGCCACTTTTGATGATTAGTCCTGTATCCGATAACTGAATGTTTCGCTAATTCGTCACCACAGACAATTAACTCACCAGTTTATGCTCACTAATGGCTGAAAAATGACTACTGTGGAGACCGTGCTTAACAAATGAAACGAGGCTCCTCGTGAAGTCAAGAAGTACATCCAAAATGCATGTTGATTATTTAGTGTGAGCTAGTAGTACAGAAAAGCCCTCGGCAAACAGTTTCCACAGTGGGAATAAGTATGATCTGGATAGTTGGCTGATGTCCGAGGAGTTAGTGGCTGTTGCCTTTTCCCAAAATATGTTGGTCTTTTTCTCTCCGTGCTTTAGTGAGTTCTCGGAAGACAACCAGCGATAACACTGTATTTCAAAACTACTGGTTAATAATTCTACCCAGACCCTATCACGGTTCCTCGAAAAGGTGTCGTGTTACTAACAGAAACGTAGAAAAGCGATCGAATGGATTGTTGTCAGGAGGTGAGTACGAAGTACCATCCCTGTAAAACGCTAACAAGTAAAACGCGTGGCTCAAAAGGTGTTCACAAACCTCAAACTTCTCTTTCCATATCTTTTTACCTTGCTTCATTATAATGTTGTGAAATTTCAAGGTAATTTTATCACAGGTCATTTGCAGTTATCGCGACAATTAAACACGAGTTGGCTTGTTCTGTCGTGGGATATCAGCTGGACTCTGTTCACTGAAGCAACTGTACAGTTCCCTGCTCCACTGTCGCAGATATTATAGGTCTGTTGTCAAGATGGTCAGATTCCTAAAAATAACCCCAGAGATCCCGAAACTTTCTGAGACCCTTAAATTCCATCAAAATCTCAAATGGAGAAGCTGGTAGGCATCAAGGCCAGTCACTCAAGGCCAATCACTCCATCAGTTTACCAACAGCATGGATCAGTGAAGCGTGAGGCCCTTGTAGCCGTTGCACTCGCTTGTTTGCAATACAGCTGTTGTGTGCCTCTTTGGCGAGTCTTCTGTCACTGAGACACTGGGGTGGAGACAGCAGTAGATATAACGTCTGTATTTGAGGCTTCGAAATAAACCAAGCATCTCCGGCTAGCCAAAAGCAAAAGGTATTTGAGGTTAGCCGACTCGTTCGATTTGCCTACTTTTCTACTGCGATAAAAATGTAGACATCCGAATGTCCACATACACTACGTCAGAGTTGGGTGTTTTCACACACTTTTTTCACAGTAAGGGCCGAAATGTTGATTTTGATCGTGCAACCACTTGTTGTTTTCCCTAGCATTTCAAATGATGTTGATGTTCCCTTCGTCAGTGGCTCTCGATGTTGACCGAAATGAACCTGTTGACAAACATTCAGGGTTAAGTCTTCAATACTAAGTGAGACGGAATCAGCTAGTGCATTATGTCAGCATGCACACACACTGGTTCACCCTATCCTTTCTCTATACACTTGACGACTGTAGGCTGTGGTTTACGTAGTTCCTGAAGTTTGCTCATTTCGGAGGACATTTTTTTCCCCACATCATGTCTTACGCCAAATAACAAACCCAGCTGAATTACCATGTTTACGGGCACTTCACTTGTTTCAGATCAAAATAAATTACTTTGGAATTTTCAATTATATGTGGGACTTGAGTGTTTCTTATAGGCTCATTATCCTCCTACCTGTCTTACAGAACTGCATCACTGGGTAGCTATTTTTCTGATATGGGTATAAGAGAAAAATTCTACAGAATATCTCTAATGTATGACGGTCTGTAGCTTCCTGAAAGTTCATTTGTTCATTCTCCCATGGTTAAGTTCAACAGCTTGCCACTCATAAATAAGAGAGACGGCTCCCCAGGCTTGTTTCCTTGAAATTCTGTACCGCAATGAGTTACAATCAACCTGGTTTTTTGTTCCTCGAGAAAAGACTGTGAATCGGCTGACTCTGTTGCTCCCCAGGTATAAAAACGAACGGTCCTTTTAAACTCAGAACACCGTGTGTCTTAGTCATAGAGCGTAAAGCCGTGTTCACAATCGCAAAGATCATATACGGCCGGGGAAAATCTTTCAGGCTATTTTTGGCCCGCTAAATAGTCAATGCGAATATCGTATTTCGGTTCAGCTGCTTGTCGGCAGTGAAAACAAACCCGGAGCTGACCAACGGACAAAACCCGGCCGAGGAGAAATTGCATCGATCTGAACAGTTGCCCATATGATGGTTAGTTTTCGAAATTCCTTTTCGAAACACAACACTGCACAAAGAACTCACGAGTTTGGAAATGTAGGGTAGTGAAAATACACCACTAAGCGAAGTACAGCCTTTTTGATGTTTTTCCGATTTCTTATGATTGTATTCAATGACTCTTATATGCGTTATCCCTTATTCCGACAGAATTTCAATGGCAAGCTTCAGCATACAACCATTCTTAATCCGAAAGTCAAAGACTATAGACTCAAGTGATTTTGTGAACAACCAAGTTACTGAGCTGTTAACAGTAATGTGGGCTACCTAAACAGAACTGTCTTACCTGAGCTGACAGTAAATTCTTGGAGTATACAGTGGGGAATCCGAAACAGAGCACTTTCAGTCAATCGGGTAACTCTTAGAACCAAGTAAGGAGTCATCCTTTTGGAAAAGTTTCAAAAAATTTGTGGATTTGTTTCTTGTGACATTTTGCTCTTGATGAATATATTAGGTCAGAACAAGTGACTGGATTACAAAGTGGAGGGATTTTTAGGGATGACTAAGAACCAGTCAACAAGACCTCTTTATACTAAACCAGTGTTAAGTATTGCTTGAAAATATTTGTTTGTGTGAACCAACAAGAGTTGAAACTTAGGGATTAGGGAGGAACTTTTTGGGCCGGGTGCAGTTCTTCCGATTCAGTTTATGTAAAGATTCTTCCTCGTATGGTTTGCAAGTTTTGAGGCGGTTTTGAGGGGTCTGTTTCAATGGGCCAGTATTCTGGCAGTCGTTTGAGAACGATTTCAATTGGTTGTCAACCGCGGACCATCACGTGCCAATCCGGTTTATGTAAGACCGCTGTCCATACGCTCATGAGCCCTCCTTTCTATTCAAACTGAATTCCACCGACTCAGCCATCAGCTGGTATGATGTGGTCCCTTCTTGGAAGCTCAATGTTTATTCTGCGTCCTGCGTCTGGAGCGTCTCTCGACAAAACAGAGTATTTTGCCAGCTCCTGGTATTCTTCCGCATGTCTTCTCCGCTTATCGATTCTGGTGTGTACTTCTCTAGACGTCTGTCATACATAGACATTGGTGCAGCAGTTGCCTTCAGTTTTGTACGGACTATCTAGCGTTATTGCCAAAGGAAGCCATCCAATAGGCTTTTTAATCTCCGCCCAGTCAATCTCACTGGGGATTCATTTTGTTAAAGCCTGTTCTGGACCTGAGTCTCAGCTGCCGTTCGGGCGTTTTAATCTATACATAGCGCTCTGGCTCCGCTAAACACGGATGAGACAGTGTTGGAATTTTCCGACTTATAATGAAGGGGAACCTCTAATCGACACCTTACTTTGACCAAGTGTGTTATCGGCACAATATACTGATGAGTCGTCCTACTGAGGCCTTAAAATTCACCCAACCTCTACACCCAGTTACTTTATCTGACAGAGGTTTCGTGTCGAAAGCGAATCGTGCGTCAAACTGCGTACAATTTAGGTTCAAGTAGAGTATGAGGTTGACGGAGACAGTGCAAATACACGTACGCGATAATCATGAACAAAGACGAAACCAGTCGTGTGCTTCCGAAAGGGTTTTTCATCAACCTTATAAGTACCATGTTCTGTTTAGATAAAATCTACTGAACGTTTTTCAAACTTTTCTGAAAAGCCAACTTTAGTATGGGCGATAGCAACATGGAAAAAAACTGGGGCTTATGGCGCTATGTAGTAAAAGTTCCTCTTTTCAATCCAAATTAAATCAAGTCAACTCACGTCATGTCGCGTCACGTTCAGTCAAATATAGTAAACTAAATCGAATCAAGTGATACGAAAAGTGATGTCAGGTCAAGTGTAGCCCAGATCAGAATAACCTTGTGATGTTAGTAAACTGTTAGACAACTGAGAAAGATACACCTCAAATAAAAGTCTGCCTGAGGCTGATGAGTGCCAAAGTACAGCTGGCGAACCATGACGGTTTTGAAATTTTAAACTTGGAGCACGTATGTAGTTTCAACTGAGATGAAAAGTGGATATCCAACAGGGTCCTTGTGACTTGTGAATTATTGACCACATGTTTGGATGCATTCTGACCATATAAACTACGGAGATCCTACAAAAAGTCAGAGGAAATTTTAACCAGCGGCAGGTGTAGAAAATACTTCCCCTTCTTAACTCAGCTTGGTGATACACTTGTTGAGAGACCTACAGGAGAAATATTCTATACTTACCAAGTTTTGTTCGAAAGCGTCTCCAGGTGAGTCCACGAAGTTCACCGTGTATACAGACCCTTTGAGTGCAGCTGTCACGGAGTGGGAAACTTGGGTACTGTCATCCTCATCATATTCGCCTGAAAGATGAGAAAAATATGATTGAATGATATTGTCTAGTGGTGCTGTTACACCAGTCTGTTGAAATTAATGGATAACATTCGTGAGTTAATCCGTTTCAGCGAAGGTTTTTCTTCAGGAAAGACCAGTTCCTCGATGGATCCTTAACAATATGCTCCTGCAACCAGCATTTAACATGCAGTGCATTCAGAGAAGGTCGCCGGTGTGGAGGTCCTAACCACATCCCTACAATGTGACCGCGAGCCACGACACACATTATGCTACGATCATGAAACAGCTAATGATACGGATCTCAACCTCTGCTTCGTGAGAACGAGATTAACGCCACACTGGTGACCAGTACAACCGAGTCCGACAAAACCAACACAATGACGAGTGATCAGGATATTTTCTTGAGCGAAATGTAGTGAGTATTTGAAGCTGAGGCGTAGAAAAGTTATCTATTCGTCTAGAGGCTTTTAGTTTCAGACTCTCGTGCATCGCCGTAGAAGCACTAATGGTGGATGTTATCTTAACTTTCATCTTCGGAGGCCACGGATCTCCTTAGGGTTCCAGCTATGCTTGGCTGAGATAGATGAATCCCCGATGAAAAGATTGTACAATCGAACAGCAAAGTTCCAGAGGGAAGTCTGACAAACGCTTGGTGCTCCGAGAAACTCATGGACGTCCACAAAGGACACTAGTTGGTAAGCGACACGGCCAACTTCGCTAAGTCCATGCACTAGGTATTACACGAACTGAGGACTAAGATCAATGACTAAGCTGGCTGTGCAGCTTTGAGTTTTTCCTCAAGTTCCCATGCTTTTTGTATTGAGAGGTGGCCTTGTCAGTGTGAAAAGAACTAAATCTGTCGGATGCGCAGAACTCAAACTAAGCAGACAAGTTTTGGACTCTGCTTAAACCAGTGCTGAAAAATTCGTCCACTGATATCGATGGATTAGACCGACAAACAAAGAAATTGCTTGTAAATTTTGTCAACGAGAAAACAACTTTTTTGAGACTGAAACCCTTGGTTCGTTTGAGGTTTGTGGATAATCAAATCCAACCAATGACACTATATTTGTGAAGTTTGGCTTACGTCACGAGAGGCTGATTTTAAGGGGTTGGACTGTAAATCGGATGTGGAATGATTACTTCTCAGATGTAGGTTGACGAAACATATTAGGAAATCCTTGATTTAAGGATAGTACGCCTAGGAGAATATATTTCTGGTTCAACTGGACATGCGATTGAAACAAAAGACAATCACTGTCAGTAGTTTTCAGACGGTAATTCTCTGAAGCTCATCATGCTATTTATGATAGCTGCGTCCTCAAGGACATGCAAGCGATACTTCACCTGTACGGAGCTATCGGTCAACTGCCGAAACAAACAAAGGCCAAAAATAAAGTGTTGTATTTGGTGTGTGCGTAACAGCTTTCACTTTGCGTTTTACCTCTACATCGGTTTCGGGGTTTCCGTTGCCGCATGTGCGTCACAAACAAACCCGAATTCAGTTCTACCTAAATTAACTTGCTTCAGACACCCAAGGGTAAGGGAGATCGTTACTCTATGCAGAGTTGTTTGTCATTACCAGTAAGAACAGACGAGCGGTGAGGTAAAAGCGTGTCGACAAATCTCTTTCACATAACAGCACATAAACAGGCCCTACCTGATCTGCTTGTTGTCCACCTGGAGATGATCATGCCGCATAACTCTAGTTTTTCCCCTGAACCTAATATTCGTTGGCATCACAGAATACAAGTTAATTCTTCCGAATTTTGCTGTAAGTAGACTCGTGCTGTTCCCGTCCAAAATGCGTTCAACTGCACTTGTCTTGCTGTTCATAGGATAGCAATGCAAAGATTTAACATTCATTTTTATCCCTGTTTCAAGGTGTGCGATTATTGACCAAATGGCACAAATGGACTGCAAATCTTACCAAACCTCTCACTCTCTAGGTTGGAAATGAATGTCAGACACTTCACCTGGCTTCATAGGCCTAAGGAACCGCTGATCACTTTGAATGTTATCGTGAAAATCAGTTGAAATCCACGTTCGAACGGCTTCCGCACCACCAGCTAACACACTTTTCCCTAGCATTTTGATCAGTTTATTCTTGCGTCATCTACTCTTCTTGCCGTTGTAAAACTGAACGACGAACTCAAGAATTGAAACCCTAAAATATGCTGGTAATCTAGACATTGGAACGAATCGATGCTTCTGCAGGATCTTCTGCCTCACTGACCACTTCTTTGACGGATGCAATAAACGTCTTATGTGTCGCTACCTTTCCTGAAAACTTCGATTTAGTTGAGGGATCATTCCCCCCAAAAAAAGCCAATAGAAATTGGAACAAACAGATTAATAAATGAACCGGCCTAAGTATGCCAGCTGATGAAGATGAAAAAGAAGGAACTGCACATTGGTGTCTAGATGTGACGCACTACTCATTAGGTATTTGAAAACTCTTCGACCGATCACGACGGGTTTCGCCCTCACTTGAGACTCCCAGAGTTTACCTCAAGTTTGTCTCATTTGAGCCTAAATTGCGCTAAATTAGTGAAATACTCATTTTCATGTCAGTCTAGCCCAGGTATTCTGTCACTACCCATCAGCTGAACGCACTCGAACCGTGGGAATACTAACATTCATCCCATTGTCATATGTGCCGAGGAAGTTCACCGTTCATTGTCAAACTGGTCTTCAGTTGGGCTCGCTTGTCTATATCTTGGTGTTTTCCAATAACAGCATTGACAGAATAATGGTTTCTCTGCTTGTCTTGAAAACAGAGCCTATCCTATTCATATCTTGGCAAGACCATGTAGGATTAGCCGACTGTATAAATCCTCTAAATTGCGCAGTATATTGAGGCCTCGGAGGCGTGTACAAGCTCAGATTTGGAGGGTTCCTAAAAGTATGATCACTCATGGCATTTTATCAGTCCGGCAATGACGCGTTACGTCTTCTCGACCGAGCTGAATTTTTTTCTCACCTCACCGGTTAGTAACGGCAATATGTCATACCTCAAAGTCTGAAGAAATTTCGCTCATGCAGTCAAAATTTCGACAAAGAATTGAGCCCATGGAACTCGGATTGTTCTTAGCCTTGAGTGTAACTACACTAATCACACTCGAGTTCATATATCATGGTACACATCATGATTTCTTTGTGACGACTTCTCTAGGTGGAAAGTTTCGCTGTCGATTTCAAAAGGCACTATCACACGTGTTCCTGAGGAAGTCAGTACAGTTGAATCTGAATTTGAACATCCTGGCCCAAAAGCAATCACTCTGAAATCAAATGTTATTCCAATGTTATTTTCAGTGTTATTTCAATGTTATTCGAAAAAGAAACGGTTATCATTTAGGGGAGTAGCTGGATACGAATCTCAGGAATGTTTTGGTCCATTCGGCGAGATTGGTCAGTTTGCTAATCAGTTATTATTGCGAGACGGGGACGTAATTTCCCTCTAAGGGAATGAGTCCCTTATTAGGAGAGGCAGAGTACAATTCGGGGAAACCACTGACTTTTCTCGGTCATTTGGGCCGCTTAAAAAATTGTGAGAGGGGAACACCTAATGATAGATAGTACTCCGTAAGCTTCGTGATCACATTCCATAGACCACGATGAGGAACGTTTTTGCAAGTGACATTTTCACTGCGGCCTTTGATACGAACTGAGAACTTCGAGAAAATAACCGCTTTCTATTCGATCCCGATTCGTTTCACAGACAGTCAGTTTTGAGGCTGGATCGCCCGGGTCACTAAAGATGTTATTCGATCCAAAGTGATATTGTCTCTGATAAAAATTAACTTGTTTTCACAAAAAAAACATTAAACCACNAAATTAACTTTTTTCACAAAAAAAACATTAAAACCACTGACGAGAGATAGGAACGAGCTTCAGAAACTATGGCTACAATGTATCCAAAACACACCACTTTTGTGTAGGCGACTAAATAATGCGGAGAGTAACAAAATTCGAATTTGGGAATGTTTCCCTTTCTCTCGAACAAAACATTGATACATTTTTCCACTATCCATCAGAGAGGCGCTCATGATCGAACAATGCAGATGTGAGAAGATGTGAATTCTCTTGAGACCGGACCGGCCAGACAATGATGATGAGGTTTTATAGTCAGTTTGGTACACGATCCGAATAAACGTTGATGTTTTTGTAACAAAACTTTCGGTAGAGGACAAGAAAATTTTAGACAGGAAGGCTTGTACAACAAGACTCATTGTTTGGGAAAACCCAAAAGCTGAAACCTACAACAATTGAAGAAAACACAGTATAGGGCTGACTGACGTGGCTATCTCAAAACAGGTCAAATGCAGAAGCATATTGACCAGGTCAAGTGTACATTGGGCATTTGTCCAGAATAATTTGTTTTTGGGAACCGATTCAAAGCATGGTAACATCCGCGCTCAACATTCACGCATTAAGACGATTGAGAAGAACTCTAACTGATGAGGAAAAATAATGACATCAGGGCGATGATTGTGCCCTGGACCGAAATATCCTCTATGTTAGTATGATAAATGAAAACAGAGTGACACCCGGATTAATCATCCATTTGATTATCAAAGGCAGCGTGTGAGGAATGTTCAGATATTTGCTCGAATTCAGTGGAAGACTGTGGTATAATAACCGGATGGAACCGGCAGAACTTGAGGCTACGTCCACAACAGCACGAGTTCTTACGGATTCCGTTCGGCTCATGCCATACCCCCGCCACATTCACGAGACTGGAAATTTTAAAAGGATGTCGGAATGCGCTTACACAGAGCGCTATCCTTTCGGTAAGCATAGAAATATGATTTATGGAATAAGAGAGGCTAGACTGGAACGCAGTAGCGAGAAAGGCCAGAGATCAGGCTCATCTACTCATCCCGGAATATTGCAAGACATTGAGAATTAGCCTTCCCCGAAGTCGAATAGACAGTTGCAGTCATTCATGAGCATCGTCTTGTGCGACTCAAAATCTGTGCCATTATCCACTGGTGTTTTCACTATT